GCCAAACCAAAACCCGCCTTCCCCATCTCCACCTCTCGCTCTCCCTTGCTTCAAACTAGTCGAGTCATCAAAACAATAGAGCCAACAAAACCACCCTTCACTCCACTCCCCCTCTTATATCTCCTTCACTTCAACTGGTATTAACGGATTGCTTTTTCCAATGGTAAACCCGAAGAACCTTCGTCAGAAATCTGTGAGGACGTACTGTTCGACTAGATGCCCAAGAGAATTGCTGTTGCAGAGATAAACAGATGGTGAAGAAGAAGAGAGAGAGGAAGGGAGAAAGCTCTTTGTTTCCTTTTAATTATAATTATTATTTTTATGATTATCATCATCATCATCATCATCATCATCATCATCATCATCATTATCATCATCATCATCATCATTATCATTATCATTATTATTATTATTATTATTATTAATTAATTAATTAATTAATTAAATCCACATGGCTGCTCATGTGGGGGTCCACGTGGGCTCTCAGTTGAAATGTATAATATAACATGTGAAAAGCATTATATATATATATATATATATGTATATATGAATGAAGTGAGGGCTAAAATTGTCATTTATATCAATATAAACACTTATGGGAAAAGTAACTTACCAAACACCTTAAGTGATTATTAAAATAAATACTTTTAAAAAATATTTGTGTTGTGAAACAAATAATTGTTTTAACAAGTAATTAATCATCAAAGATTGCCTAAGACTAGAGAGACCTGGTGGTGGTAAAGCTATAACCTTCACCAAAAGGAGATAAATACCCGCTAATATAACGAAAGTACAGAAGGTACAAACACTAGTCAAAGCCAAGACATTGACCTGGCTTGGGCTGTTGCACATGGGAGCTCCATCGACTCGTGTCAGCTTTGTATGTTTACAGTGAAGATAAGTTTGTTGCCAGCATATATCCATGAATAAAGTTGATACACTAGAAAATAGAAATATCAAATATGAATGAAGGTAGAATATTGGGCAGCTTCTTCGATCCTATTCCCATCTGCGATAAGGACAACAGTGCATGAGTGAGTAATTAATTAATAACCACAAATAGGTTAGTCTGATTAATTTTGAGCCGACCGGTCCCAGGCAGCAAATTGGCGCACATTGGTCTGTGGATAGTATGATGTAGGGAAACTGGTGGAATGGGCAACCGTCCAATGCCGCATAACTCAGACGAGCACGTGGAGAATATACAGTACATAATGTACATTTTGCATGGGTCTATGGATTGAATGGAGCTATTCGCCTTTGTCAAACCCATACAGAGCAGCCCATACTTTCTGCAGCAGGATGGGCGTGTCTATCCATGAGATCGAGGGCCACTACCACTAGTATATAATCTGTACAGTTGTTGTTCTTTCGCTTTTCGCTTCAAATGCTAATAGCCTTAATACACATATATAATAGTCTTGTGATGATGATGCAATATTCGGCACGGTTGTAGCTGAACCTGTACACAATACACATGCAGTCACTGTTTTTGTTTTACACGGAAGTCCGGTGGATGTGTACTTGGACTTGGCTACTGCTGCTATAGTAGAGTCAGACGATGACCTAATCCATTCGGAAGCTTGCGGCAGACCAGAATCCAATTGGACCACCGACTACGGTGGGCATGAATTGGTTGCATATAGACCTGTTTATGGGCCGGGTTTTCACTTGTAACTAATGAAAATATACTAGGCCCGAGCCTGAGCCCGGCCCGACCAACGGGCCTATAACTTGGGCCCGAGCCCGGCCCTGATAAAAAGCCCGAAACCCGAGCCCGAGCCCAAAGCCCGACCTAATTGAAAAAAAAAACAATTTTTCCTATTCAAATTAAAATTAAAAATTCAGATAGTATTTTTTTTTCTATTTAAATGAACAATGGGCCTACAAGATGGTATTTTTCCCTTTCTTTTGTATTTTAAAACACAATTTTACATTCTTAAATCAAAAAATTTATTCAAATGGACATAATCACATAACTAATTTTAAATTTAATATTAGGTCGGGCCAAACCAGGCTCGGGTTGGCCCGACCTATTTTGACAAAACCCGAGCCCGGCTCGAATTTATTGCAGGCCGGGCTTTTTGGCCCGAATTTAAGCCCGCGGGCCTATAAACATTTCAAACCCGTCCGAGGGTCGGGCCGGCCCATCGGACCACCCAGCCCATGAACAGGTCTAGTTGCATATATATAATATATATATATATATAAATCAAATCAGATTTCCTACACTGCTCAACCAATCAATGTCATATATTAATTGGAAGGTTTCTAGGCATCTCATTAGTAGGCAGCAATAAGATCTTGGCTTCCACTGATCAGAATATCAAAATACACAACCGTGACAATAACAACTACCTAATTTAATAACTTAATGATGTTGATTTTCTTTTTTAGGCAATCCCATCTGATGATATATCTGTATTAAATTAAAGCAAAACCTTCAGAATAGAAAGTTAGATGTCCCTTTTTATAAGTTTCCTGAGCCAGATAAACAGTTCAATGCCAATGCCTTCAAAACTTTACGTGGCTATATATATGGGTCCCAGTATTAATTCTTGGGGTTTTAGATAAAGTACGTGCTGGGGGGTGGGGGTGGGGGTGGGCTAATATAAATCCAATAAAGACTCGGCCTTAAATACTTGATGGCTTAGACAGCAGGCCTTTGATAACAGCTGAAGCCACTGAATTAAATAATATGTATAATTATTTTTTTATTATAGTGAATAAATTGGCAAGGACCAAGGAGGCTAGCTGCAATATAATGTGCTAGCTCCTTAAAGCTGAAGTTGAATGGGTTAGTACTTACTACTACTGTACCCTTGATTATGACTGAAAGAAAAGAAAAGGCAATAATCCTAATATTTCATTCAATTTAGTCACTTAAGCTATTGTCATCAAACGTTATCTTATTACATGAGGCAACTCAGTTCAACTAAGCTTTGAATTAATAATACTTAATTAATAACGAATTGAATAGACAACGACTTGGTGATGATCTTCTTCTTCTACTCTGCACATGCAACAGGGGTAATACATCCCAAAACCCAAATCCCCCCAGCAATTTGGTGCAGGCGAATCTCTGATACAATTAACCGGAAACCGGAGACAGAAGACCTTACCAACCAACCAGTTGGCACCTTGTGCGACTTGCTGATCAATCTTAAAGTAATCCCAGGTGTCGCCTGAGTTGTGACTTCATATATATTCTGAGACCCACTAATTTACTAAAGATGTGCACCTAATACTACTTGAGCACTGAATGTTAAATGGTTGGTCCAAATTTGATGAGGGCACCAACCTGATGGTATTGACTGTCGAGGGAGGAGGGTGCAATATCATGTGGCAGCACCCGACACCATTTAATCACCATCCTCTCTCTGTCTGCAATCTTCGTTTCAATTGATTTCCGACCCGAGGGTTTTGGTGGATTACTACCTATCTCATTTCAGAATCATTCGTTTTTATTTTATTTTTTTCTCTTAATTTCTTTAGTGGTATTTCATTCTTTTTTCCCTTCTTTTCTTGACCAGAAACAAAAAAAAAAAAAAGAAAAAAGAAATAAGCCATGAACGGATGAACCTTTTTCCACAAATGTTTTGGGGCTAATTTTGCCTATCAAAAGAAAAGAATAAGTTTGCTGGAGTCGATTAGACCTAGCTCTCATTGTCAACTAGTATCAGTGCCTCTCCGCTTTCATACTTTTGTCGATTTCATAATTATCCCTCTGCTACAGTGCATTAGAGGCTTATGATTTTGGTTTTGAAAAACAAAGAATTATTGTGCTCTTCTGGCTCTTGTTTTTTGTTTTAAGAAATTAAGGGTTCGTTTGGTTTAATTTGCAATCAGAATCAGAATTGGAATGATCTATTCCTATGTCTGTTTGGTTCAGATAGGAATTAGAATGGGAATTAGATTCAGTTGGAACGAGATTTCATTTCCAAGAAATAGGAACGAGATTCTAACTCCACTCAACCAAAGAGTTGGAATCAGAATGGTCAATTCCAATTCCAGACCCTTATTCCTATGTAGCAAACAGGACCTAAATCCCTATACATTGACAACCTCAACACCCCTTGGTATATATCTTTGTCCATGAGACTGTGTTTGGTTGTAATGTAAATAAATTTGCAGTGATGCAAAACTATAACAATGCAAATGATTTGAGTGCAAATTTTGATTTACTCTTGTTTCAAATTTTAGCTAATCTTGTTTGATTGCCATAATGAAATAAATGAAGACATGAAGCAGAATAAAGTAAAAAAACAAAATTGTAAATAAAATTGCACGGTAACCAAACACAGCTACTTGCATGGAATCACCTAATTTGAACATGCAAGTAGAGTGGGATTTGTCTGTTTGCACTTCACAAATGGTAATTAAAACAAATTAATTCCATATGCTAGCTTTAATTCCTCCACCAAATTACTCTTTAATTTACATCGATTAATCTACTAATTTATTTTTTTTATTCGAAAATGGAATTTGCGTTTTATGTTTGTCAAGAGGAATTAACTTGGGTAGATTATGATTATCCAATTAGATGATTGTCACTGTGCAACATAAAAAATAAAATAAAAATCTAGGTCCAATTGTGGTGTAATTATGATGACAATAAGGATGAAGTCCTACATACATGATAAGGTCCAGTAACTGGAGGGTCCAAATTGTTTATACTTCGTAGGTAAGCCATGCAAGCACCATATAAGGCATAAACAGTTTCACATTTCCTAGATACATAAAATGAAGAAAATTTATATATTATACCGAAATGCTAAGTTGGTTAGGATGTCGAGAGTGGGGAATCATGGGATTGTACCCACTAAGGTTCAGATTAGATTGGACAGTGATCTTATTCCTTTTCCATCGAACAGATGAATGGCTAAGATTACCCCCCACACACCTGCGTATCTTAGCATCAAGCCCAAATACAACAAATAACCGAACGAGTAGTTGCCCAATTTGATACTTGGTACTTTGTTGTCTTTTGGGGGCATTACGCACTCCGAAAGCAGATGACCGTGGGAGAAGTCTCACTACGTGGTACGGACTTGAATTAAATCTTATCATCTCCCCCTTTTTATTGTAACGGGAGATCATCAAGTTACAGTAGTTGCTTAGAATAGTCGGTCACGGCAGACCCAAACTCATCCTCTCTCACACTCACAACACAATGGAAGGTGGGCTTCCCTTGCTCAACTGCCTCTTACAGCAAACATTGAGAAGTCTCTGTTCATATTCAGACCCTTCCAATTCTTCTTCTTCTTCTTCTTCTTCAAAGTGGGTATATGCAGTGTTTTGGAGGATCGTGCCTCGGAACTATCCCCCTCCAAAGTAAGATACAGAAAGATGCATTCATTTTTAGTCATTTAAGTACTAGAAAGCATTTCTCGAACTCTGTAACCTTGCTTATTCCTGTATCACTTTATTATTATTATTATTTTTTTTTTTTAATTTAAGTTTTCTTCTCGGCATATGCAGATGGGATTATGGAGGAAGTGCTCTTGATCGCTCCAAAGGAAACAAAAGGAATTGGTACAATTCCACACTGAAATTGAAGAATTAAGAGAAACCCATCTCCTCATTTCGTTGTAATTTAAGTTGTTTAAGTGGGTTTTGGTTTCAGGATTCTTGTATGGGAAGATGGGTTCTGCGATTTCCATGAATGCGAGCGAGAAGGGAGCGGGTCTGTGAAGGGGAGGTTTGGTGCTGATATCTTCTTTAAAATGTCTCACGAGGTCTACAGCTACGGAGAAGGGTGAGAGTTCTGATTTTATCTTCTTTCCATTTTATTTAGAGGAGGCCGGAAGAGGAGAAGAAATATTTTTCTTCTATCTTATACTTATTTCCTGTTTTTTCTTTCTTTTTCTTTTTTTTCCAGATTAGTGGGAAAAGTTGCTGCAGACAACAGTCACAAATGGGTATTTAGGGAAAAGCAACCTGAGAGCGATCCCAACTGCGTGTCCTCTTGGACTGGATCGACCGACCCTGTAAGGAGAAAAAAGCAAAATCATCTCTTTATATTTAATTGATAAACAATAAAAACGCACTCCCTAGCTACTGACGTAAAATGTTTACCTATATATGCACAGCAACCTAGACAATGGGAGTTGCAGTTCAATTCAGGTATTCAGGTAGGCTGATACTAAAACCGGCCAGGAACCTGTAAAAAAACCAAGTATCCACTTGAAAACCTTAATTTCAATTGATGAGTATCTGACACGGTTTATTCTTCTAATTCCAGACTATAGCAGTCATTTCAGTAAGAGAAGGCATCATTCAACTTGGTTCGCTAGATAAGGTTTCTCTCTCTCTCTCTCTGGTTCATGTATGCTTTCCCAAAATAATTCCACTAATGGGTGGTGCTGGTGCCGTTGTGGTTGGATAGATTCCGGAAGATCTCAACTTGGTGATCAGCGTTCAGAGGAAATTCAGCTATCTGCAGAGTATACCCGGTGTCTTGGCGATGCAGAGACCCTATCCACCCATCCAACATTCAAACACCATAACACACAACAGCTATGTGATGGACAACAACGAGAGCGCCGAGGACCAGAGGAACGTATCAAGCGGGAAGAGATGCCTTGGTGAGAGGCTTGAGGAATTGCCGATCAAATCCGTCAATTTGGGCTGGAACAGCCCACAGACGGGCATTGGAAATGGAGCACGGCCCTTTTGGCAAATCCCTCCTCTCTTGCCCCCAATGTCTTGGAGTCTGGGAGCTCTTTTATCTAAACTACCGTCTGTGTTCCCCTTGCATAACACCGTCGAATCCTCTGCAACAGCCATTGACACCAACATTAGCTCTACAGCAGGTTATCAAAAAACAAAGATGAATGCAGGTAAGTCATGCCAAATCTCTGATATAAAACTAGAGCCCGGCTTTGAAGAAGAAAAGCCCAAAATACTAAACCAGAATTCGAGCTTGAAATATCAAACCCAAACAGTGGTTGCAGTTGAGAAGCCAGAGGCAAGGGGAAGGTGAGTTAAACTCGATTAATTAGTAACGGGGAAGCTTCATTAAATAAGGGAAAGAAAGGATTTGGTGTAATATTTGGCGTTTTGTCGAATTGGCTTAAGTGGATAAATGTGCTTTTGGTGTTCAAAATGAAATGTTATTAAATAATATAATCGTGGATACATAGATATGTTTTGTCTTAACGTGATTGATATTTGATAGATGTAAGAGTGTAGTTGGTAGTGTTTGGAAATTGGAATGGGTGAGTAGGAGAGAGACAGCTTGGGTACATTACATGGGATGATAGGAATAGGATGGATGGAGCATTAATTAACAGTGTGAATACTCAAAAACCGCATTTAACAAGTTTTAATTCAATTTATTGAATAAATAAAGGGTAACCAATTTAATCTTTGCTTTGTCGGGTGGGAGGGAGGACCATTTGATTGAAACAGAGCGACCTGATGTAACGTGATGTGATGCAACTTTTGTATATATATAACTTTTATATATATAGGAGGAACATTGGTGTACGTGCATAAATCTCATTAGCCATTCATTCTTGTTGTTATTGTAGATAGGGGGTGAATTGGAGCCGAATCGAATAGTTTGAGGTTTGAGTTTGGCTCAAGTAAAAAATTTATAAATTTGAATTTGATTTGGTTCGAGTTTGATTTAAAAATATATATATTTTATAAAAATAAAAAATTATATATAAAAATATTTTTTATTTGATATTTAAAAAATTAAGAATTATAATAATTTATTATGTATATTATTTTTTATAATTTTATTATATATATATATTAATATATATACATTTGTATGAAATCATCATCAAACGAAGCCTCTTCTTTTTTGTGTATTTATATGATGGGCGTATTCCTGGGTGTAATGTAAAAAATGCAAGAGATGGACGTCCATGATTAAGGTGTCACATTGTCATCTTTCATGCAAATAAGGTAAAATTGTAAAAAAAAAAAAAAATCATGAACTCATGAATGAAATTAGGTAACTGCAATTTAGTAAGCAGCATAAAAAGGGAAAGTGAAATATGGGGCCGAGCAGGCAATGAATTGGCATGGATTTGGGTCAACGACTATCACCCCCTTTCTTTATCCCTCATCCATCATCAATCACGAATGGATCATTTGATTTGAGCTCTTATATGAGTCCACCGTCCATGGCAGGCGGTAATACCAAATCAATGGTCATGGTGCTGCTGACTTTATTAAGTTCTAAGTGGTTACAACTGATTGGTTAACAAACTAGAACCATCCGTCTCATTCATTTATAACAACACCTAATATATATATATATATATATATATATATGTAAATAGTTTGAAATGTAGAAATTATGGAGGAGACAGACCCTACCAAGTGACTAGTCATGTAGTAATAGTATATTGGAGGTCAAAAAATACAACCAAGTCAAGCTAAGCCACCAACTTATGGGGGACCAGCAAGCTCAGCTGGGCCGGTGCCACTGCTGATTTTTACATGCCTATTTAATCGAGATTTTTAAAATCTTGTTGAGTTATTGGAAAACTTAAACTCTTCAGCCGCTTATTAGGATTTAGGAGTGTTTCTTTTTGTCAATATTCATGAGAGATGTTTTCAATACACCGGGTTTACCCATAATGTTCTTTAAATAAATCTTGGACCATGAATAACAATATGTCATAAACATTTCATATTTCAAATTTATATAACCATTCAGGTTGAGTTTGGAAGGAATAGTAATATGTAGAGTGCAAAATCATGTATTATGTATTATTTTATATGTATTTGTATTGTATATATTTATATTTATACTTTTTCAAATTGAGCATCAATCTCGAAGAAAATGAAACATAATCCATAAGTAAATAACTTGAATAATATTGCATAAATATTACCAATTAACGTTCCAACTTTAGATGCAATCTCAATGTAACTAGAATACAATCTAGATTTAACCCAAACAATACAACATAAGTAATACATAACCCATCATTCAAAACCTTTACGCTAAGGCTGTGTTTGGTTTGAAGGAAAAGGTAGGGAATTAAAAAGAAACCTTTACAACCTTGTATGTATTTCTCTACCTTTTCCTTCAAACCAAACATAGCCTAAGTTCAAACCCAGGCCGGTTCCACCTAAGGTTCCAAGTATTAATACACTCAATATGCATGAACATGATACATACTAGGTGTTTCCAGTGAAACAAAAGCTATTTTTTATTTTTTTCTACTTTCACATTTTCATAGGGTGAAAAATAGTGTTAACATTTAAAATTGAGGCTTTATGAAAAAGCCTTAAAAATTAGGGACTTGCCAATACAATATGTTATGCCTGATACGGGATTTATTGTATCTACATTTTGAACCTTGGTGGTCCAAGACTAATCAATGGTAGCTCATCAAATCAATTTAGGTAGGGTAAATCCCAAATCTTGGAACTGGCCTTGATGAGGATTGGTTCTAAGAATTTGGAATCAGATCATATCCCAAATGGCTGGTTCGAATCAGTTCTGGGTACAACTGATTGACTTGCTCACCTCTAATATAACTAGTTCGAGTTTCATGGCTATATATGCCGTTAATGTAAGAGGAATTTATATCTTATTTTTATCAATATATAAAAATAATTTGAATCCTAATTAGGCATCAAAAAATATATATAAATGATGGTGATTCAACCACGTCCACCGTTTCTGGCAAATGTATGTAGATAGGGCATACACATCCTTAATTATCAATCAAAAAGTGCTTCAAAAAACAAATCTTTTGAGAGAGAGAGAGAGATGTGGGGATTGGCGACTCTAATTTGCTGTTTGGTTGAGAATAGATGAATAGTAGAGGGTGTTAAAAAAGAGCAAGATGGTCTCACAAATTATGGCTGTGTTTCGAAACGGTGCAAATAAGTGTGAATGCAAATATGCATAGTGTAAAATGGTTCATATAAATTGTAAAGTTGGGTTAGTTTTACACAATAAATTTACCTTCTTGTCAAATAGATTTTTAGCTGTAATGGATGCAAACACGAATTTCAATAAAACATATGCCTTTTTTTATCAAAAGTTCACTTGAATACAAATTTACTTCTTTTTTATTGATGTATTTTTACATCTCATTAATAATGTAAATATGCATTAGAAAATATGTTTTCTGTCATTTATCAATATGTAAATACAATGTTGCCAAACATAGACAAAAGTGAACCAGAGTGCAAATTTACCCTGAATAGGGGTTTACACTCCATTTGCATCATTTCCAATGCAGCCCAAGGAAAAAGGTGGTAGTATGGGTATACTGCAAATTGGGAATATCCTTAGTGTTTATATGATACCATTCATAGGGAGATGTTCCCAATGTATAGTTGTAATGTCCCGATTTTCACATATCAATCACAATGGAATCTTTTTTTAGAAGTTAATTGACAAATCCCTAACAGTGGGGGAAAAGTTTTGGAATCTTAGAGTCCGTTTGGTTCGTGATCGGAATCGGAATCCCTTGGAATTGCAACCGGAATGGTCTATTGCCCCTATCTATTTGGTTCAAATAGGAATCGGAATCAGATTCCGATTGATGCTGTTTGCTTCATCAAGAGGCTGGAATTGGAATCAGCCATGATTTTCAATTTTGCCCCTAATAAAAATAAAAAAATAGAAAATACATGAAAATACCCAAAAATATAATAATTGCATAAATTTTTGCAAAAATGCAGAAATTTTTACAGAAAATACAGAGGGTGTATGATTCTCGATGAAGGCACGAGTGGCAGATTTGGGGAAGTTCTTTGGCAAGGTGAAACCCTAGTATACCCGTAGCATCTTCCTTCTGAATTGTACATCCAAAAAGAAAAAAAGAAACTAATAGTGGAATGGGAATCACATTTCGGGAGAGGGGTCGGGAATGGCTATTCCCCCATATGGGGGAATGGCATTCCACCTATTCATTAATCAAACATCTAGAAACGAAATGACTCGTTCCAATTCCGATTTCAGAGTCCTATTCCCTGGAGCCAAATAGACCCTTAAAGTTTGAGGGTCTTTCTTGCAATTGAAATTTCATGAAGATAAGTCACTACTCCCAAAGTAGAGGATAGTTAATCTATAAGTCACTACTCCCAAAGTAGAGACGGTAGTCATTGAGCTCGTTGTCTCGTTTCAAAACTAAAAACAGAGAGAATGACTGACATTAGACAATAAAGCCACATTGTCACATATCCATTAGTGAACGCATGCATCTATCTAAGGTATTAGGGAGAGAATAAAAGATTATTAGTCGAAATTTTTACGCACAAGTATTTACTTGAGTTAGCGTCCATGTAATGCATTCACCTTTGGTCTTGTGGGGTCCATATTGGTAGTTACGTGGAAATGAGTAGATCACATGAGTTATGGTGGTGGAGATGAAGTCTTTTAAGTTATAATAATTCAAAAGTTTGTTTAAGTTATAATAATTCTTTTCTTAATTAAATTATTGGAGGTTTTAGTTAAGGGCAACGTGACGTTGGCATCACACCGTCTAAACAAGGATTCCCTCTTAAAAAAGGGCAAAGGAGTGGTAGCCCAATTGTTAATCTTAAGGCTATGTTTGGTTTGAAGGAAAATGTAGGAAAAGGTAAAAAAACCTTTATAAACCTTTCTTTCCCTATCTTATCCTTCAAATCAAACATAGCTAAAGGAAGATAGTAATAGTACTTCAAATTCCAAGAAAGTGTACGAATGGGGCACAAGGAATGGTTTTATTAGTTGTAGCTTTCACACACAGAATCGTACAGCCACTCTTGTTATTCTATCATTATCATCGGTTAATTATAGTAATGGTGATTAAAATCTACCGGCATTTTTGTTGAAACCGGATTCAGTCAGTGCTAGTCCCATTGAACAGTTGCATTGGGAATATCTCCCCCGAAGTAGGGAGATATTTCCAATGCAAAGCTGTAAAGACTGTTCCAACGGTGTTAGCACTGACTGAAAGCGATCTCATTTTTTGTGATGTTAGGTCATAGGTGAGATAGGTGGGCCACCTATAGTCCTATTATTCAGTATTGACGCCATACATTCCATGTGCAAATGCCTGGGCCCTGGCTACAAGCTTCATTCTGAGTTTTATCCATAATGAGCTTGTGCGATTATTCACTTTGTTTCATGGGCTTTCTTTCTTTGTTGTCTGGTTGTCCCAACAAAACTTGGGCCAAACAATGGTTCGTCAAAGAACTCTTTTTGCATGTGCTTCAGGTAAGTCTTAACCGTGAAATTGCGACACTGATGATCTGCGTAGGCCCAGGGGTGCGTAAACTGTAAACATGCATTAAGCCCATTTGTTTGAGTCCAGTAACAACTAAGGACTGAATGTAAGATATGCTACTTTGATGCTCTATTTTTGCAACTTCATATGTGTAAAACAATGTGTGTCGTGAATCGTGAATGTTTATTTTACACTTTTAGTTGTGTAGGAAAATTTATTTATTGCTTTACATGATTCAAAAAAAAGGCAGAAGTCATTTTGACAAATCTTTTAAAAAGATCTTTTGACCTGCAAATCTTTTTTGATAACTAAAAGACTTCACCAAGAGAAGGCCAGCTCTGCTTCTGTAAACAAGAAAGATCACTTGCGTGTTTACTTCTGATTGGATTTCATATCCAACATATCCATAGTAGATAGAGCCAATTTGACAGGGCTTTTTATTAAAGATCCTTTTAAAATACAGTAAAGTTTTAACTAAGTTGTTGGATAATGCCCAAAGGTTAAAGTATCAGAAACACAATGTGTATCGGAAAGGTAATTTTAAGAAACGTATCGGAATATATATTGGATATGTATGCATATCGAAGAAAAATTAAGATATGCATAGATATGCTTGAAAACACTATAAATGCTTTAATAAATCATAAAAATACATCAATAATACTAAACATAAGACCTCAATGGGGTGTATATACATTAAATTAATATATTTTAATGGTTTTATGAAGCAATATATTATAGGTATTTATAATTTCATTAAAAATTCCCAATTAATACCCTGTACTTTGGGCCTAATGCCACTTTGGTCCCCAAACTTTGAAATGCAACAATTTAGTATCCAAACTTTTGGAACGTGACAATCCAGTGGCAACCCATTAACTAACTATTAACCAGCCATTAAGTGGTATTTGAAAAAGATACAAATGCCCTTTAAGTGTCATTTAATTTTGTTTATCAACCATCTAAACGTTGACAAAAAAATTAACAGTCCCAAATCCTTGCCTCTTCCATTCAAGAAAATTGGGGTCACATTTGAGTGGTCATTCTAGTGACCCCAACTTTCTTGAATAGAAGAGGCAAGGATTTGGGACTGCTAATTTTTTTGTCAATGTTTGGATGGTTAATGAAGAAAATTAGATGACATCGAAGGGCATTTGTGTCTTTTTCAAATGCCACTTAACGACTGGTTAACAGTAAGTTAACGGTAGATACTGAATTGTCATGCTTTGAAAGTTCAGGTACTGAATGGTCGCATTTTAAAGTTTGGGGACCAAAGTGGCACTAGGCCCAAAGTACAGGGTACTAATCGGGGATTTTCCATTTATAAATTATAATTCTTAAGTTTTAATGTTTTATGGAATGAGAAAAACCCAACTCTCATCTCCAACCATAAAATATGCATTGGCACAACTTCAATGTGAAAATATAAATAATAATTATTTATTGTTTAAATAATTATTATTTATTAATTTCTAAAAATTATAAAAAATTATTAAAGAAGAAACTTCAATTGCTTTGTGGATATTATAGATCATCCATAGAATTATAATATATTCAATCATTGTGATCAAATGATAAAATATAATTAATTAATTATTTATTTATTTATTTTTTAATTCTAAAAAATAAAAAATATAATTATTAAAGAAGAAATTTCAATTGGTCTGTGGATAAGATAGATAATCCATAGAATTATAATATATTCAATTTTTGTGGTCACATGATAAAATATAATTAAATATTATTTATTTTTTAATTCTAAAAATATAAAAATTCAAAAAAATATTAAAGAAGAAATATCAATTGCTCTATGGATATGATAGATAAATCCATAGATCTAAAACATATTTAGTCTTTATAGGTAGAGAAAAAACTTACATTTTCAAATTTTTGATTAATTTATATTTCCCCAAATATCTTCATGAAATTTTCATAAATCTACTGATAGCACAAAAAAATTGTTATTTTTAATGTAAGAAATGTAGTTCAACATAAATTTAAACATTCAAGGAAGAAAAAAGAAATCACAAGATATTATAAAAGATTGAAAAAAAAAACTATTTTTGCCATATTTTTTTAAAATTTGAAAAATCTTTAAAAAAATTAATGATCCACACTTGTTTCTTGGAAACTTTTACAAATTTAGCACTCTAGGAATGAAGTTTGGTGTTTTAGAGTCATTTGGGGGGTGAAAGAAGGCTTATTTTGGGAAAAAAGAAGTTTGCGTTCCCCCTTTAATTTTTTTTTTCAAGTTTTTTGCCGTATCTTTTTCGTCGATATGCTACCAATATGCCTTGATACACCCTCGATATGTCCCGATACACCTCCGATACGGGTCCGATAAGCATGAAAAAAGACGAAATATTCGATTTCCATGCATATCCTGTATTGGTTTTTCAAAGATACAATACGATACGCCCCATATCGTATCGAAATTTTAAACCTTGTTAATGCCAATATTTTGGGCTGAGTCAAGATATTGTTTTAATACATGATACAATTTCTATTTTAACTAGAGTGAGGGCGTGTATTATGCATACGTGCACTTAAAATCTAAAGATATAAATTAATATTATATGATTAAATTTAAATTTTATGACCTACACATAAATTAAGATGAATTTATATAATATATAATATAGATATTAGATGCAAACAAACACATAATTGTTTTAGATCCCAAATGAACCATAAAATGCCCTAAGAAAGTTATTGGATTAATTTTCATTTTTAAAGTACAAATGTCGATAGATTTACATACATGATAGTCATTCATCACAATTTCAACCCCATATAATAGGGGCAAGGCTGAGGCAAGCAAAGCATAAGAAAGAAAGCAATTTAAAGTGCTGGAACGCGACAGCATAGCTGAATTTGGTCTCCAATCAAAAAATGGTTCCAATGTGTTAGATTGAACTAGAAGAAAAAAAATACATAGACATGTCTAAAGTTATACGTTTTCATTAAAACCTACCGTATAGTTTGTATTATTAAAATACTCCCTATAATTTTCAAATGTTTTAATCAACCTTTCATCAACAACTGTTTAAATTTCCATCTGCAATGTGAAATAGCATGGGTCCAATGTTTTTTATTCCAAAAATATACATAGTGGTTCTCTTATGAAATCAGATTTGTTCCTCACACAATGCACCTCAAATCAGCCTCACAGTACATCATAGTTATGCATTTGGAACATCTTCCCATGTATGACAACATCAAGTACTTGTTGATGTGGCCATTCTCAAACCCTAGACCTATGTTTTTTTAGGGGTATTTTTGGAATAGAAACCCTAGACCTATGTTCTTTCACATTTTCTACTTGTTTTAAGAGGCCATGTGGCCATTCCCAAACCAAAATACTAATGCATCCTGATAAAGGTCAATTAAGTAAAACGGTTGTAAACTATAGAAGTTGTTTTAGTAATATGCAAACTATATGGTATATATAAATACATGAAATTATAGGGTTGTCTAAGAAAATGACACAAAGAAGGAAAAAAAAAACAAAAATAAAATGAATGATCCATATGGCTCTATTTGTTTGAAATGCAAATATTAGATACAAAATTTGCATCTTGTTCAATTTTGCATTTGCTTATTTGTAATTATAACTTGCATTTCTATCCAATACAAAATTTGTAATTTTTGTCTCATTTGCACTCACAGCCAGAATAAATTTTACATTACAAAAACTAATGCAAAATTTAATTTGCACTCACAGGTGCATGAGGGTTTAGCCCAGGGTGAGAATTTTTAGGCAGGCCCAAAGTGCAGTGGGAACCATAAATTTACACTGAGCCTGTCCGTACTTTCCTCTTTATTATATGAAGTGGGGACTATTCATTTTACTCCTCACAAATAAATAAGACAAAATCAATTGTAATAAAAGGAAAGTAAACTAGAATTTACAATTTGTATATTTGCACTGTTTACTTTCCCTTAAGATTTGACTTTTTTGCTCCCACTATATATAAAAAAGAGAATGGAAGTAGGAAGAGTTCTTTTTTTCTATTTTTTATTTGCAAACAGTAAGGAGGTTATTTGTTTGGGAGTGAAGGTAGTTCTATGCTCTAAGTCTGACATCCGCATCCCGAACAAAAACACACATACACACAATAAAATTCATTTTCAATATAAATTAACATGATTGTTAAGCAACTGTCTTTTATTGAACAAGCTAGACACGGCTAAGTATTTTGATCAAATACTCGGAATCCATATCTTCATAAATTAATGTTATTGTGGAAAATTCTGTGTAATTAAAATCAATACAAAACTACAAAAGGGATTGACACAAACCCATTCAAACAATCCATATCAAAGCTTCATTTCATCTGGCTGACCCAAATCCTCTAGTAAAAAATTAAATATATGGAAAACAAACCGTGTATGAGAAACATATTCTGTAAAACTTTTAGTGTGAGATTGTGGGGGG